CTCGCGCTCCCGCCTGGAGAAGGCCAGCTGCTGGTCCTCTGGCAGCTTCTGGAAGTCGCCGAGCACCTCCCGCATGACCTCTCCGCCGGCCGCCCAACGCGCGCTGTTCCCTCCTCCTCCTCATCCTCCTTTTCCTCCTCCTCCTCCTCCCCCTCCTCCTCCTGCTCCTGCCCCTCCTCCTCCTCCTCCTCCTCCATCATCATCATCATCATCATCATCATCATCCATGGTTCTCCCTCATCCTCATTCTCCGCCTCCTCCTCCTCCTCCTCTCCTCCTGCCCCTCCTCCTCCTCCTCCTCCTCCTCCTCATCCTCCTCCTCCTCCTCCTCCTCCTCCTCCTCCTCCTCCTCCCTCCTCCTCCTGCTCCTCCTCTCCTCCTTTTCCTCCTCCTCCCTCTCCTCCTCCTCCTCCTCATCCTCCTCCTCCTCCTCCTCCTCCTCCTCCTCCTCCTCCTCCTCCTCCTCCTCCTCCTCGCTCCTCCTCTCCTCTCCTCCTCTTCCTCCTCCTCCCCCCTCCTCCTGCTCCTGCTCCTCCTCCTCCTCCTTCTCCTCCTCCTCCTCCTGCTCCTCCTCCTCCTCCTCCTCCTCCTCCTCCTCTTCCTCCTCCGAAGCGCAACACAACGTCTGTCACACCTGCAACTTGCGCCACCACGTGCACGGCGTGGGTGGCGGTCAAAGCCATTTTCGCCTCCACCCCCGTGCAGAGGCGGGTGGCGCCAAACTGCCACGTACGCCGACCTCTGCGACCTCATCAACAAAGTCGTTCCGTCCGCTCCCTGGTCCCTAGTTTCCACCTGCCCTGCGGTACTCGCAGCTGCGCATGGTTGGGTCCTTCGTCGGGCCATTTTGCTCATGGCGTTGATTCCCAGAGAGCTGGCACTGGACACTCTCCCTGGGACCAACTATTCGTCCCGAATCGTTGGCTGACAGTCCCAAGGCCCGTGAAGGGCCCCAAGAGGCCGAGAACTGGCCAACACCTGCCATCATGATTTCGTGATGACTCGAGGGGGCCTGGGTTGCAAGGGGGTCACGACATCGGAGCTCTGTGGGAACATCCACGCCCGCAGCTGCTGAGATCCTCGCACTGGGTCCCTGCCCATTCCTCCACGGGCGGGCAGGTGTCCACGACCATCCGCCACTCCTCGAGAGGGGCCCTCGAGATCCCGGGACACGATTCCTCGGCAGTGGACACCGACACCCTCGTCGGATGCGGAGGCGGATGCGGATGCGGTCTGCGTCGAGGCGCTGCGGGGGCGCTGCAGTGGGGCGCCGGGGCGCCGCAGAAGGATGACAGGGTGAAACAAGGAAGGGTGAAACAGGGGCTGGGGTAGAGATAGGAATAGACAAGAAAACTGCACATAATACTACAATGTGTATGAAATCTATAAAAAATACGCCACTCACTGCTCAATGAAACCTGGCCTTAACATGTACCACTCCACGGTTGCTGCAATTGCCAATAACTCCGTCGGGGTTGCTGGCGGGTTCAGAGCCGTTTGTTGCGCGTGTCGCATCACATCGTCCCACCATCGTGTCTTCGGTCGTCCAACCCGTCATTGCGTCTGTCTGCGCATCCCGTTCAGGATCCCACCGTAAAACTGTTCGCGCCCACTCCTTCGTCGCATTCGTGGCAATATGGCGGACCCAATCCCATTAACATTGCTTGATAAGCATATTCCAATCAGTAAGGTTCATTTTTGAGATGGCATGATCTGCGTACTGTGTTGCACGTTTGATCCATTCTAACCAAAGTTCCAGAAAATCCGACTCCCCCTCCTGGTCTGGAAGGTATGTAGCTGAAAGTGGCGACGGTGGCGCGCTACCCATATCTTTTCCATTGTCGGAGATAAAACCGTCATAATTGTCGTTGTCGTTTCCGGAGTCTGTGTTGTTGCGGGGGCTATTGTCGGATTGGTGCTGCCCTCGTCGTGTTGTTCCGGCCGTCTTCCTTCTGGGCGACTTGGCGATCATGCGGAGCATGTGCCGTTTGCTCGGCGGATTCAATTCGATAGCTCGTCTGTCATCGCCCACGCCTCGCACCCGTACAGAATTGTTGGTGTGATTCGCCCGTGGAATAATCGGATACGGTTGTTCATGGAGTAGTGGGTGCCCGTAAGCTCCTGCATAAGCGAATGGAACTTTCGCCATGCAGAAGCAATTCTGTGTTCCATTTCTGTTTTGTGGCTGTCGCTGAATTGCAATTTGCGCCCCGAGTACCTGGTCGCGCGGAACGGCGGGATCACCTCGACCTCCAATCCGTGAAAGAAGACGTGCGTCGGTGGTTGTCGTGCTCGTGTTGGCCTGTGCCCGTTGTGCAAGATCTTGGTCTTGTCCGGGTACAAGCGTAGCTCAGCAGCTTCTGATTCATTGTTGCGGTCGGAAAGCATTTGCGTGACGTCGCTGCTCGACCGTGCAATTAGGAGGACGTCGTCGGCAAAGCGCAGGTTGTTCAAGGGGCCGTTGCTGCTTGGTGGCAGCTGGATACCGTACCGCCTCGCTGCCCACTTCTTCTTCATCCGTCTCTTAATGTGTTCTGAGACGCAATTGAAAAGTAAGGAGCTGAGTGGGTCCCCCTGCTTCGTGCCCCGTTCGATGTTGAAGTTCTTGCTGAGCCGGTCGGTTTTCACAGAAGCTGCTTGTTGATTGTACAGCAGGTTCTGGAGCAACGTGATGTATGCTGCTGGTACTTGCTGGTCTTGCAAAGCTGCCCAAATTGTCGCGTGCGTAACGCTGTCAAACGCCTTCTTGAAGTCAGTTGCTGCGACCCAGAGTGGAACCTGCCATTCGTCACTAATTTCCACGCGAACCACTGTCGTAAATAAATGGTCGGTTGTAGTCCGGTTGGGTCTGAAGTCAGCTTGGGCGGGACTCTGCTGGTGGTCGGAGGGTAGCGCAGAGGCGATTGTGCAGCAGCTTGGAGAATACTTTGTAGAGTATCGGAAGTGTTGCGATGGGTCGATAATTTCAGAACGCATTGGGTCACCACTCTTGTGTAGTACCTTGATGACTGTTTGTTTCCAAATGGAAGGCGTAGGTGAGTCACGACGCAGTATGTTATTGAAGGGAAACCCGGAGATCCGACGTTACGAAAATTACCCGAGACGTACCCAATCCCTTCTCCAAGCAAGGCGACTTTTCACATGAACGATCCACACAAGAACCCATCGCCAGACACTGGACTCATCACCGCCGTGCCTCCCAATAGCCCACGAAAACGGTGATTATTTCGCACTTCGCAGCCTCCAGGGGAGCCGCGAGGTCTCGGCTGGATCCGCGTGGCCCCCGACTCTGCTGGACCTCCAAGGAGCCCACGAAAAGTGGCGACAAGTGCACCCTTCGGAACCACCCAGGAAGCAGCGAGGTCCCCAATGGGTCCGCACGGCCCCCGACTCCGTTGGACCTTCCAGGAACCCATGAATTTTGGCGACAATAGCGCATTTCGCAGCCTCCCAGGCCCCCAATGGGTCCGCGTGCGCAAACAGGCCTGTGTTGCCCCCGACTCCGCTGGACCTCCCAGGAGCCCACGAAAGTGGCGACAGGTGCGCAGATCGCAGCATCCACAGGGAGCAGCGAGGTCCCCAGTGGGTCTGTGCGGCCCCCGACTCCGCCGGACCTCCCAGGAGCCCACGAAAGTGGCATGCTGCGCAGCTCGCAGCCACCCAGGGCACAGCGCAAGGGGAGGCAGGAGGAGGGGGGAAGGAGAGGGGTGGATACAACAGCGTTCCATTCCCAAGGAAAACCCAACACACAGGAGGGCCGGGGAAAATTCAGCATCGCGAAACATCACAACTCGCATGATTGACTCCATCCTCTGCTGCACTTTTCGAGCGGGGTCGGTGTGCGGTGGGGCCGAAAACTGGGCGCAAACGCCGTGCGAAAAAAAAGCAGCACACACGGAGCGCGATTGTGCAGCAGCAGCCTCCTCCTCCTCCTCTTCCTCCTCCTCCTCCTCCTCCTCCTCCTCCTCCTCCTCCTCCTCTGGGCAGGACGATTACTTTGTTGCTGCTTTCGCCGAAGGGGGACAAGCAAAGAACGGACGCTCCGTCGGCCAGCTGCTGGCCCTCCGGCTCACGACCTCGCGGTGCCGACCCGGCGTCCAGGGAGGCCGACGACGAGGAGACCACTCCAGGCTTGGATCGCGTGGGGGTATAGGGTGGTTTGGTCGGGCATGTCCTCCTACAGGCGCATCTTGGACGAAAAAATTGAAATGGTCGAAAGATTCCAAGCATACTTCTACAAAAAACACAGAAGAAAAATCGTTCACGGACTATTTTCTGATTAGTCTTGAATATTCCTCCTGTAGAGGGACATGCCCGACTTAAGACAACGAGGAGGAAACCACTCCAGGCTTGGGTCGCGTGGGGGCATGGGGCTGGGCTGTCCTTCTCGGTGCGTGGTGGGGTGTGGATCCCTGCAGGGGCTGCCTTCGGTTGGCGTGGCGGGGCCAGAACGGGCCGTCGGTCGGGGTGGCATGGGGGAGGGGGGGCTCACCAAGCACCCTGGATTGGAGGCTTGGGAATGGGCACCAACACCCACACATGGGGTTTGTCTCCACAGGGGGAAGATGATCATATATTTCGGTGTTGGTGGTAATCTTTCGGCCACCTAGGAAGCCCGAGTATTACCACCATCACCAAGATCGGGATCATCGTCCCTCGGTGGAGGCACGCCGCCGATCTTGGTTTTGGTGTCAACCTCTGGGCCTCCGACTGGAGAAGTGATTCTGGAGCTCTGGCTGGGCCTCCACCTCGCAACCGCGCTCGCCCGAATGAGGCCTGCTTCGGGGCAGAAGACAACTCCCCACGGCTGCTCTGGGCCCGCGAATCGGGCGCGGCATCTCACCGTGCCTCGTGATTTGACGGCGAGGGCTCCCAGGTGCAACAGTGGTCGGACTCTGGTTAACATCGCAGCTTCCCGCAGGCCGCCGGCCCTTCGCGCACCGCTTCGGCTTGAAGCGCGAACGGCACACGGGGGACTTCGATTTGAGCTGGCGCGTCCCGCTGCTCGCCGACCAACCACTGTTGCATCGCCACGGAGGAGGGACAATCGCTTCCTGAGCGGACGCCACGTTTTTCTGTTTGTATCCCGGTTGCTTCTGGTTGGGGGCGGTGGGATCTGTAAGATATGAGCTGCCACCACAGAGGGGAACATGGGGATCACTGCTGTTACAGTGGAGGACAGTCCATAAGAAACCTTCCACAAGAAACCCAATCCTGAGACCGTCCATTGGTTTCTGGTGCGGGCGCGTCACGCTTTCCACAGCAGAACCATCGAGACCCAAGAAACCCAGGGCACCCTGGAGGTCAGCAGGGTGATTATTGGCGCGGGCCTCCACCTGCCAGGTTCCGGGGGCGGGGGAAGCGCTTTGCCTTTCCTCGGGCACCCGAGATCCGAGCAGCGGCCGAGCTGCAAACGGGGCTGCTCTCCAGCGCATGGGGCACCGAGGCGGCATGCACGGCGGGAAGGGGGGAGAGTGGGCAGAGAGGGCCGGGCACGGCCAGGAGCAGGGAGACAATCTCACCGGGAGGAGAGGAAAAAACAAAAAAAAAAAAAAAAAAAAAAAAAAAATGCCACAGACGCCAGACAGCTCGCCCCTCGGCCCCCCGCCAGCCCCACGCCAAAAGGCGAGCATATATTTGGACGCCCGAAATGGTTACGGAAAAAATGGGCACAATGCCCAGCAACAAATGTTATCCCAAACCAACAGCGGCCGCTGTTGGGCAGGCGGCCTTCTGTCTCAAATGTACACAGGCCGCGGCGACACCGACAACGAGCCCTTTTCAAAATGAACAGGAACCGCTGTTGGGCATCGTACCCTTTTTTTTCCGTGCCCATCTCGTTCGTGCAGAATATATACGGGCGCAGCACCGCGATGCATGCGTAGCCTTCTGCTGGGCCAGGCGGGGCAAGACCCAACACTGCATCGCGTGGCGCGTGGACGCCCGCACCGACCACGACTCCGCTCAGCCCCTGCCTCCGACCCCACCCTTCCGCCACCTCCTCTTCGTCCTGTCCTCCGTCCTCCCTCTCACCCATCCCCCCCCGTCGTCCCGTGCGTGGCACATGGTGCTGCTTGGCTGCGTCTGGGAAATATCCTTACCGCCCGGCCTTGAAACTGCCAGCGACATATCCTCACACCCCTCGCTTGAAACTGCCAGCTACGGATCCTCACACCCCTCGCTTGGAACTGCCAGCGAAATATACTCACCGCCCCTGACCTGAATTTGCCAGCTAAATGTTCTCACACCCCTCGCTTGAAACTGCCAGCGAAAAATCCTCAACCGCCTGGCCTAAAACTGCAAGCAAAATATCCTCAAACCCCCTAACCTGCGAAATTTCCTCACACCCATCACTTAAAACTGCTAGCGAAATATCCTGACACCCCTCGCTTGAAACTGCCAGCGAAACATCCTCAACGCCCTGGCTTAACACTGCCAGCGCAATGCCCTCACACCCCTCAGCAAAATATCCTCACCCCCGTGGCCTAAATCTGCAAGCGAAAAATCCTCACACCCCTCGCTTGAAACTGCCAGCGAAATATCCTCAGCCCCCATCGCTTGAAACTGCTAGCGAGATATCCTACAACCCCTGACCTAAACTGCCAGCAAAACATCCTCACACCCCTCGCATAAAACTGCCAGCGAAATATCATCACACCCCTCGCTTGAAACTGCCAGCGAAATATCCTCCCCGCGTGGCCTTAAAACAGCCAGCGACATATCCTCACATCCAACGCATAAAACTGCCAGCGAAATATCCTCACCCCCTGGCTTAAAAAGCCACCGAAATATCCTGAACCCCCTGGCCTAAAACTGCCAGCGAGATGTCCTCACACACCTCGCTTGAAACTGCCAGCGATCTCCTCACCGCCCCTGGCCTCAAACTGCCGGCGAAATATCCTCAGCCCCTGGCCTCAAATTGCCATCGAGATATCCTCACACCCCTCGCTTGAAACTGCCAGCGAAATATCCTCACCGCCCTGGCTTAACACTGCCAGCAAATGATCCTCACACCCCTAAACTAAAACTACCAGCGAAATATCCTCGACCCCTGGCATCATGCTGCCAGCGAACTATACTCACCGCCGCTGGCATAAAACTGCCAGCCAAATATCCTCAGCCCCTGGCCTAAAACTGCCAGCGAGATGTCCTCAACCACTCGTTTGAAACTGCCAGCGAAATATCCTCACACCCCTCGTTTAGAACTTTCAGCGAATATCCTCACCCCCTGGCCTAAAACTGCCAGCGAAATATCCTCACACCCCTCGCTTGAAATTGCCAGCGAAAGATCCTCATCCCCTGGCCTAAAACTGCCAGCGAGATATCCTCAACCCCTTGGCCTAAAACTGCCAGCGAAATATCCTCACCCTCGAAAATAAAACTGCCATCTAACGGCATTGGTGATTCAGTTCAGTTCTGTCAGTCAAGTCTGTCTACTTCCAGAAAATCAAATTACGGGCTGCGCCCGTAAAACATTAATGTTTGTCGCTCCCCGCGGATTTCTTGGATCTGCGCTGGACACCCCTGGCGGCGCCTCCGGCGACGCCCCTGGCGCGCTCCGCGCGCAAGGGAAGGGGGTCCAGCGCAGATCCGAGAAATCCGCGCGGAGCGCCAAAACTGTATGGTTATGGCGTTTTTTCTCCTTCGACTCACGGTGGATTCTTCACAGTTCCGATCCGAGGCCTCAGAAGCATGAGAAGGAGCTGCTCGCTCCCACCGACCCTGGAGGCCCTTGCGCTCCCACTCGACTCCTGGCCCTGGTGTGGAAGCCGACATCGGCGATGCATCGGCCACGGCGGCAGCGCATCGGCGGCGCCGGCGTGGAGAAGGTCGGGCTCCGCATCGAGCCGCATCGCCGGTGCATCGGCGATGCGGCGCGATCCTCCGACCCCATCTACTCGGACCCCACCTGGGAGGCCCAGATGTTCCCCCTCTGGCAAAAAAAACAAACCCCTGCTCGCGCTGGACCCAATGAGTGATGCCATTCCCCCGGTCTTCCCTGCCTCCCCCTAGCGCGCTCACGCGATAATTTTCTGCAGCGCCTCTCGTGCAGATAATTCCCTTTCTCACGAAGAATTGCCAACCGTGCTCTCTTCTGCCTACGCGTCCTGCTGGATGCTTGGCTTCGCGGTGGTGGTGGTGCCCGCGCCGAGCGACCGACCGAACGAGGCGAGGCGAGGCGAGGCGAGGTGAGCGCGCGGTACCTCCGGGGGCGGGGCCCTTTGGAGCCTGCGCGGGGGGGGGTGGGGGGGGGGCCGGATCTCTTGGTTCGTGTTGTCCGTGTCGTGGCATCCCAGAGCAGATCGAATGCGTCTCGGCTCGTGCTGTCCGTGTCGTGGCGCCCCACAGCAGATTGAACCAGTCTGCCCTCTGGCCCGCGCCACTCGTGTGCCGCTCGCAAGCAGCGCGCGCAGGGTGGCCAGCCGGCCGCCTGGGGGAGGGGGTGAGGTGGGCGGGGCGCCGGTGGGCGGGCACGCGGCACGCCTCCGGACGCCCCCGCTGGCTCACGCGCGGCCTGGCCCGAGCCGCTCCGCCAGCCCCGCTCTCCGCACCCGGAGGGGCCCCACCCAGCCCACCACACTCTGTGCGAGAGCCGCGCCTGGCAGAGGCCGTCGCCAGAGACGGCTTCTGACGGCAGCGGTGGCCACGGCGGTGCCACCCTCGGGCTGGCCCCCGATGGCGCCCGAGGCCCTCCAGGCTCGCCTGCCCGAGGTGGGTCGACCCAGGTCGCCATCGTGTCGAGAAGAAGCCCCTTGCCTTTGCCTGCGGGAGGCGTGGAGTCCAAGAGGAGCCTCGCGCCCTCCACCAGAGCTGGCGTGGTATCTTCTTTGAGCAACATACAAGGGCGCCTGGCTTCGCGCCTCGCGCGGCGCGAAGCGCGGAGCGCGAATAGCTTCGCGCCCTCGCGCCGCCCCCACAAGGGAGAAGAGGAGGACGAGGAGGAATCGGAGCCGTACCGCGAAGCGCGAAGCGCAAACAAACTTCGCGCCCTCGAGGGCGCCCTTGAACAGAGGCCCGCCAGAGACCTCGCGATGCCAAACTTGGGGGTCCCACGGGCCGTCTTGGAGGCCCTGGGGGCCGGCACAAGCAGCCGACAGCGGCTGAGTACCTCAGGCGTCTGCGTGGTCTTGCTAACTTCTCGCCGCGTCGGTCGCGGCAACAGCGTCCAAGATGGCTCAAAAATCCCTGAAAGACCAACCCAAGATGACCCAAGAGGCCCCTAAGATGACCCCAAGAGCGCTAGAAGCCAACTCTCCAACATGATTCCAAGATCCCCAAGGTCCACAAGCGGACCCAAGAGGCCAACAAGAGGCCCCATGACGCAGTCGAGAGGGCCACGGAAACACCTAGGGACCCCCCCCACCCCCCTAGAAGCCCCCCCAAAATATCCACAACGTCTCTGGAACACAACTCAGGCGCAATGGCGGGATGAGCCGAGGACCGCACAAAGAAAGCTCCTTCGCATCAAAGCCGGACACCCCCCCCCTTGCCACTGTCCCCCTTCAGGCTCTTCCGCCATAGCTGTCCACCTCCCAGGGTCGGCGGACCCGGCCGAAAAGCCTTCGCAATAACAGAAGGGCCGGGATCCAAGCAGAACCAGGTATGCATACCAAGTTCGTTGTGATGAACAGGTGACACTGACCAAGAGAAGTGGTGGGGAGGCCTCCATCATGCACTTGTGGATCTCCACGATGGTTTTGAACTTGATCAGCTCCGCGCGAGCAGGGTCACCCCTGCCACGAGGGAACAATGATCAGGGAAAGGATGCCCCGATGTCCATCAGACCCTAGAACATTCGGCTAAGGCCATTTCGAAACCAAGAAAACTTGTGTGGACTAGCCATGCTCAACCAACACACTGGCACGAAGTACACTTCGATACGAGAGCACACAAAGTATCAGCCGTGAAGTGCGCCGCGTTTCTCGTCAGTGCCGTGAGACCGAGACTGAGAGCCCATATATAGACGCTGCCACACAGGAACGCTCTCCAGACCAACGCATGAATCCCGCTGTACAACTTCTGCTACTCTCTAGCGCTCCTCCCTGACCAAACGACTACGTTCGGATCCCCGTCTTCCGGTACGCGGTCTGTTGGGCCTGCTTTAAGCTGCAAGCTAGCTATGTCAATTGTTTCCTGGCTAGCTATGCATCCTACAATTGGGCACGAATGTGGACACACTGGTATCAAGAGGTATGGGGTCTCACAGCCTCAAAAGCAAACGTGGCCAGGCGGGCTACACTGGTGCCACGGTCAACGCGCAGCTCCAACCGAAGAAGAAGATGCAAGGCACACTGTGACCCCCTGCTGCAGTCGTGGATTCTCGGGACTCCCTGCCAGACGAACCATCAGGCGACTGCCAAGGGGAGTCGATCCTGTCCGGAACGTGCACCAGCTGCTGCGAGCAGGCCATAACCTCTGTGTCGTCCTGCGCGCGCACGCGACGCCGCAACTCACCGAACGGCGCCCTCTCGACCACCACCGCTCCCTCCTCCTACGAGGGGGAAGGATAGGGGGAGCCGGCTCAGGGGAATCGGCGATACATCGCCGATCCGCCACCGTACCCCTCGCACATTGGGGCGCACTGGAATGCCACGTGCTGTGTGGCAGGGTTTCTGTAGTCTTCTAGGGCCCCCCCTTCTACTAGCGCTGGCCCGCATGCATCGCCGCTGATCCCGAGGCCACAATCATTCGCAAAATACAACAGTGACACTCCCGAGGCCACCATCCTTCATAAAATACAACAAGTTCGCGCCCCCGATTCCAGAACCCCTAATCCGCCGGCCCCCTTGTGGGGCCACCAGGCTGTAGGCCCGTGATTCGCAGTTTCCTGTACCAGTTGTAGTTTGTAGTTTCCAGTGTTACAGTTCTGCTTCTTGCTGGTTACTGTAACTAGTTGATTGACCGCGCGAGGGGAGGGAGGCCCAAGCCAAATTTTTTAGCACCCCCCGGGCGCGTTGTCTGAATTGCTGGGGGAGCTCGAAATCGACACCCCTCACGCAGATCCGCGGGGTCAGGGTCCAAAAACACATGGGATTGGCCACATTTCTGAAATTCGGTGCCACCCCTCACGCAGATCCGCGGGGTCAGGGTCCAAAAACACATGGGATTTGCCACATTTCTGAAATTCGGTGCCACCCCTCACGCAGATCCGCGGGGTCAGGGTCCAAAAACACATGGGATTTGCCACATTTCTGAAATTCGGTGCCACCCCTCACGCAGATCCGCGGGGTCAGGGTCCAAAAACACAAGGGATTTGCCACATTTCTGAAATTCGGTGCCACCCCTCACGCAGATCCGCGGGGTCAGGGTCCAAAAACACAGGGATTTGCCACATTTCTGAAATTCGGTGCCACCCCTCACGCAGATCCGCGGGGTCAGGGTCCAAAAACACATGGGATTTGCCACATTTCTGAAATTCGGTGCCACCCCTCACGCAGATCCGCGGGGTCAGGGTCCAAAAACACATGGGATTTGCCACATTTCTGAAATTCGGTGCCACCCCTCACGCAGATCCGCGGGGTCAGGGTCCAAAAACACAGGGGATTTGCCACATTTCTGAAATTCGGTGCCACCCCTCACGCAGATCCGCGGGGTCAGGGTCCAAAAACACAGGGATTTGCCACATTTCTGAAATTCGGTGCCACCCCTCACGCAGATCCGCGGGGTCAGGGTCCAAAAACACAGGGGATTTGCCACATTTCTTAAATTCGGTGCCACCCCTCACGCGCATCCATCGCAAGGCGTGGTAACCCAAACTGCGAGAACTCCCTCGGCCCTTTAATTGCAAGGTGTGGTAACCAAGCCCGTAAACCATACACGTCTTACCAATCGCCAGGTGTGGTAACCCCTCTTGTGATCAGTTGGTTTTGCTGATTGCGAATCGGCTTCGCATGAAGTTTCGATACTGCTTCACGACAGCGCCAAGGCCTCATGACTTAGCTCTTCCATGGCCCATTTTCCGAGAGAGGGGGCCGGCGGCAGGGGGCGAAGCCCTTACGGATAAAATACAACAGTGGCGCGCTCCCGAGGGCGCCCAAAGAGGCCTCCAAGAGCACCCCCAAGAGGGCCCCAAGGGGCAAAAAATCATCGACTCTCCCTAGGTGTCTGAAAGATTTTGCCTTGTCGACTTCCCGACGCTCGAAGACAGTCCAAGGGGCCTCCAAGACAGCCCCAGGGGCCCCCAAGACGGCTCCAAGAGGGAGCCCAAACGGGGGACCCGAACGGACATTTAGAGCCCTCTGCCTAAGAGGCTCCCAGGAAGCCCCCAGAGGCCCCCAAGGAGCGTCCCAAGAGCCCCCAAGAGGCCCCCAAGAGGCCCCCAGGAAGCCCCAAGAGGCCCCCACAGCGCGGCGCCCCGCACTGCTTGTGAACCCCTGTGTGCCTGCGACCCTGGCACCTGAGTGTACGACCTGTGCATATGTTTGTGAGGCCCCCACGAGGCTCCCAACAGCCTCCCAAGAGATCCCAAAACTACCCCCCAAGGCCCCCGAGAGTGCTCTTCCGTTAGTCACCGTCGTCGTCGTCGTGTCGACTCCGTCGTCTTCTCGTCGTCTCCATCGTCGTCTCCGTCTCCGTCGTCTGCTCGTCGTCTCCGTCAATCGTCGTTTCCGTCGTCCCTCGTCTCCTCTCCCTGGGCCCTCCTCCTTGGGCGCGCCAGCCAAAATAACAGTGAGCAACGTCGCAGCTGAGCCGAAGGGAGGGGGGAAACATAAAAATGTGTATAGTTTCGTCCTTGCGCTGCCGATGGACCTACGAAGCCTCGAAAGGACAAAAAATTTGAGAATGAAAGCCCCAAGAAGGACAGCCTCAAAGACGGCCCCAAGAGCGCACCCCACGAGCGTCCCAATATAGCTCCAAGAGAACGATTTCTGGCCTCCGAGGGGGTTGGGTGGAAGGGCACATTGAGGACCCACCCGTTTTGGATCCAGGGCCTGCAAGACGGCCCCACAGAGCTTTCAAAATTGCCCTGAGATGGTTCCCCCCCGAATTCTCCAAACGCACCTTCCTTCGCATCCCTGACTCACTGTACGTGTAAAGGAGGGGAACCAAGCATTGAAAAAATAAATGTTTCCGCCCGCCCCCACGAAAAGGAAGGAAACGGAGAACCTTTTTCGACTCTTGAAATAGGAAGGCGCAAGGCCTCAGGTAGGATCACCGTGGGAACCCAACATATGCACACTTGCAACAAACGATGGGTACCTAACGCCCATCTCGGGACAGCTATCACGGGAACCGTCTGTGGATGGGCAGGTGGGTATACTTCTTTGATCGCGACCGTAGCGACAAATCGCTCGGCGCCAAGAGCGGGTGGGGATATTTTTTGGGGGTCGGCGGCCGCGCGACGACGGTCTGGCGGCAACAGGCAATATCCGGGGCGGGCGGCACAAAGCTAATTGCACACAGAGCGTGCGGTGCACATGCACTGAACAAAATGCTCAGCATCCACTAGCAGACGCACCTAGGCGCCGCCCAGTAAACCAAAGTGTACAAGCGGCCACGAGTGCGAGTGCAACGGAATGAGTCGCCCTTGCGGCGCCAAGTTCCGAGCAGCCGACCAGGCTAGCAACGATGCACGAACCCGGGTAACAGGCTGCTGGCGGGGGAAAACAAGGGCCGAAGGCGCGGAAGGCTGAACCACTCAGCGCGCAGCCCTCGAACTCCACCGCAGAGATGGGGGGGCCGGCGGCAGCCAACGCATCGAGTCGGGCGCCTGCGGGGAAGGCCCGGGGATGATGCGACGATGCGTAAAACGCGGGCTGTACCAGGCAGCAACACTCAAGGCGAGGCATTCAGGCACAGTAACCCTCAATGTCGGTGGACACCAGCGACTGTCCGAGCACCACAGTGTCGTCCTGCTGCGAGGAGGCCCACCAATGCCAGCCGCAAGCGACACAGAGGGTCGGCCCGTGGGGGGGCGATACCTCCGAGCAGCCTGCCCGTCAGGTCACCCGCTCTGGCTACTGCAGCCGCCGCGGGCGAACCCCGGAGGCACAGTGGGGGACACCCACCAGGCCACGCGTTCGGCGCCGTCCCTCACCGTGGCCAGCCTGCGGCCGCGCCGAGGCGTCCCTTGTTACCTGGTTGTCCGTTGGGGTGCAACCCTCAGAGTGCACCTTGCCGTACGGGTGGGGATACGCGAAACGTCCACAATTTGGCAAGGGCGCCAGCCTGCCATGAAAAAACAGTTCAGAACCAGATTCGAGGCCGCCTGCTTCCACTATAGCACTGGCATCTAGCTGCTCCTCATACTCTTCCTCCTCCTCCTCCGCTTCCTCCACCTCCGCCTCCTCCGCCTCCTCCTCCTCTGCCTCCTCCTCCTCCTCCGCCTCCTCCGCCTCCTCCTCCTCCTCCTCCTCCTCCTCCTCCTCCTCCTCCTCCTCCTCCTCCTCCTCCTCCTCCCTCCTCCTCCCTCCTCCTCCTCTCCCCTCCTCCTCCTCCTCTCCTCCTCCTCCTCCTCGCTCCTCCTCGCTCCTCGGAGGCAGAGAAGAAACGACAGATCAGAGCAGGGCTGGAGCTAAATATAGCTGTTCGTTGTCGTGTTCCCTCGTTTTGTCCTCTTCCAGCCTTTGCTGCGAAACGAAAGTAAGCCGAAAACGGTCCACGAAATCGCCAAAACACAGACTAGTTCCAGCACTGGATCAGGGGGGGCAGGGAAGAAAGAGAAAAAGAGAGCACGATATAATGAATGTTCTCGGTGCGCTGACACTACACCGCCGTCCCCGCGATAAGATGAAGGCTGAATCTCGCTCCTCCGGCACGTGTGCGACACAAGCCGTGAAGCCCCAGAGCGCCCCAGGGCACCCCCGAAAAAAAGTCACTTGGATTCCCCAGAGATGACCACGACAGACTGCTCGCCATGGATCGCCTTAACGTGCCGAAGCGAGCCCGCGCAGCCCCCCTCAACAAGCAGGGGAGCCGTGATGACCAGAGTAATTGGAAAGAGGGTGATTAGAAATAGAGAGTCCAGCCTTGAGGCACTCCTACTCGCTCGTCAGCGAATTATCGAACCGATTCGAACGTTCAGTGGGACCATGTCCGAAGAAGCGCCCGCGAAACCCTCCTCGTGGTCCTTCGTCGCGGCCTCCAGCAGGCTCCTCCTCTCCTCCTCCTCCTCCTCCTCTTCCTCCTCCTCCTCCTCCTCCTCCTCCTCCTCCTCCTCCTTCTCATCATCAGCATCATCCTCATAATCAGCATCATCGGCATCATCATCACCATCATCATCACCGTCATCATCATCAGCAGTATCATCATCATCAGCATCATCATCAGCATCGTCATCATCGTCGTGGTCATCGTCATCGTCATTGTCATCGTCATCATCAGCTGTATCATCACCAGCAGCCGCATCATCGGCATCAACATCAACAGCATCAACAGCATCAGCATCATAAGCATCATCACCAACACGCGCATCATCATCAGCAGCAGCATCATCAGCATCAGCATCATCAGCATCAGCAGCAGCATCATCATCATCATCGTCATCACCTTCATCCCCATCGTCATCATCATCATCAGCATCATCATCAGCGTCACCATCATCAGCAGCAGCATCATAATCAGCATCAACAGCAGCATCATCATCACCACCATCAGCATCATCATAATTTTGATCAGCATCAACACCACCACCATCATCATCAGCATCATCATCATCAGCAGCATCAACAGCATCATCATCACCAGTATCACCATCACCACCATCAGCGGCATGATCATCATCAGCATCACCACCACCATCATCATCAGCAGCAGCAGCATCAGCATCAGCATCAGCTTGTCGGCATCGTCATCATCATCGTCATCATCTGCAGCATCATCTGCAGCATCATCATCTTCAACATCATCATCAGCAGCATCAACAGCATCGTCCTCATCATTATCAGTATCAGTATCAGTATCATCATCAGCATCATCTGCATCAGCATCAGCATCGCCATCATCATCATCAGCAGCATCAGCATCATAATCATGAGAATCATCATTGACACCATCAGCATCGACAGCATCATCATCAGCAGCAGTATCATTATTTTCATCAGCGTCATCATCGTCACCACAATCATCACCATCAGAATCGTCGTCGTCGTCATCAGAATCATCACCAGCATCAAACTGCTCGGAATCATCATCGTCGTCTTCAGCATAATCATCATAATCATCAGCAGCAGCATCAGCATGATCAGCATAATCAGCATCGTCATCATCATAATCATCCTGTTTTCCTGCTCAACGTCCTCCTCATCATCATCATCATCATCCTCATCCTTCTCCTCTTCCTGTGCATGATCCTCCTCATCATTCTATTGAAAGTCGCTATTCGAACCTGGCACTGGACCCCATTCGGGCGGCACCCAGCAGTCAACGGAGGGATTACGCGCGCTGTACCGAATAACGCCCCGGAAACAAGCCCACCGGCTGATGTGTGCTGGGTCGCTGCTGTTCTGTGGTGAGCGTGGTGTGGCAACACACCCTGACCGAGGACATGGTCAATGTCAGCCCTGAAGCTCCTCGCTACGGCAACTGATTAGTAACTGGACGCGCCGTGCGTGAAAACCTGGATGGCTCGGGCATCGTCTTTCGCGTGTACTAAATGCTGACGGTGCGCTCTGACGCCAAGACGAGCGAAGATATGCCACGCGATCAAGCATGCAACGCCCGCAGCCATCCTCAAACTCCAACAAAATCTCCTGCAAGGCCTCGTCGTCGAAGCCGTAGTCTTGCAGCGCGTCCTCTGGCATGCAATGGTGCGTTTGTCACACGGGCCCTCTGCAACGGTCGATGTACATAGCGTAACGCGTGCGACTGCCACGGTGCACAAAAGAACCTCCAACGCTTAGCAGAAGTACAAGGTGTGCCACGGGGACAACTGCTACCAACCTCAGGTCAGGCGCATACTACAGTCAACCCGCATAGCAAGGATGAGCGACTTTCCAAGGTTATCATTGCATCCTGCCCCTTTGAGCCATCCGTAGCCGCTTTCGCTGTCCACACCCCGCTCGCACAGCATCGTCATGGCCTTCCAAGACCCTTGCAGCCATATCTTGGCGGCGAGCGAGGGGGGAAATGAGAAGGAGAAGGCCTTCTCGGAAGGCGGCGGGACTTCTCAGAAGCCCACCGCGCCTCCCGATAAGTGTTTTGTGTCCTCGGGGAGGGCTTAGAAAACTTCTCAGAAGGCCAGGGGACTTCCGAGCCTTCTGAAAGGGCCTTCTCCTTCTCACTTCCCCCCCTCGCTCGCCGCCGAAGGACGGCGGCGGACCAGAGTATCATCGAGGATGAACGAACCCCTAACCCTACTAGCATCGTCAAGACGTGGACTCGCTGACGTCCCCGTCTTTGCATCAGTGACAACAGATCCGTGAGAACAGATCTTTGCATCAGTGATAACAGATCTGTGCGGTTCCTTCTCACTTCCTGCCCCATCGCTCGCCGCTGAGTATCCTACGGATCTGGCTCCACGGACCTCGGAGTATGATGGGCCTGTTTTCCACCACCACCACCAGCATAAGTTGGAGGGGAGAAGGAGGTGGAGGACGAGGAGGAGGAGGAGGAGGAGGAGGAGGAGGAGGACCCCCTCCCCCTCCAGCCTATGGTGGTGGTGGAGGTGGTGGTGGTGGTGGTGGTGGTGGTGGTGGTGGTGGTGGTGGTGGTGGTGGTGGTGGTGGTGGTGGTGGTGGTGGTGGTGGTGGTGGTGGTGGTGGTGGTGGTGGTGGTGGTGGTGGTGGTGGTGGTGGTGGTGGTGGTGGTGGTGGTGGTGGTGGTGGTGGATAACAGGCCCATCAGAGGTGGTCCCCCGAAGCACGAGTCCAACGCCGCCCAGTCCCGCATGGAAAAACGGGACCCGTTGCCAGTCCACGCGCCCGAATCCCGGCTCGCGCGTCCTCGGCCAGCCCGCTGGCCAACCTGGGCTGCCCCTGGCGACGACGCCCCCCCTCCCTTCCCCCCTTCTCCTCCTCTCCCCTCCTCCTCTCCTCCTCCCTCCTCCTCCTCCTCCTCCTCCTCCTCCTCCTCCTCCTCCTCCTCCTCCTCCCCTCCTCCTCCTCCTTCTCCTCCTCCTCCTCATCATCCTCTTCCTCCTGCGCAGCTGCACCCGAATCCGTGCTCGCGCGTCCTCGGCCAAACTCGGGCACACGCTAACATGGATTAGGGACCCGTGGACCTGGCGCGTGAGCGCCAAATCCATGGATCGGGAAAGGTACCCCCCGAAACCTAATGCCGGTGCCGCCTGAATTGGCGACGGAGCGAACCGATTATGCATGGAAGCTGGACACGTCGCTAATCCATGCGCCCTGGATCCGTGGTTGCTCTTCCTCGGCAAACCACTGGCCAGCCTTGGCTGCCCCTGGCGACAATTCCCCCCCTGGGTCAATGCCAACCCGGGTCAGCCAGGCTTTGCAGGGCCATGCAAGATCCTGCAGGATCCTGCAGGATCCTGCACCCAAACCTGGGTCCATGCGGCCCTGGCCCTGCAGGATCCTGCAAGATCCGGCGCTCTGACTGACCCCCGCTTGCATTGACCCCCGTCTCTTGGGCCCCCTCCCCTGCCCCTCGCCCCCCTCGAGCCTCCGCCAGCCCCGCGCACTGCCCTCCGCCGCTCGCCTGAGGCCAACTTGCCCCACGCCGCTTGCCCCTTGCGGAGGCATGCCCCTCAGAGACTCCTGGGCCTCCACGGCCAAGGGCATCGGCCTCGAAAGAGCACACAAGCGACGCGCAGAAGCGGGTCTTGCGCGAGATGGCGTAGGGACCTTACGCGGCGGCTTACTCGGGCAGCCAGCGCGGCACGCTACATTAGAGACGAGGGCGCTCACGCGCGAGCTTACGTGGGCAGCTCACGCGCCAATGTCGTCGCAGACGGCCCGTTTTTGGGGGGGTCGCTCACATGGCATGAAGAAGGTGAGGGGCAACGATGGGAGGGGGGAGGACTGGCCCCGATGGGAAACATCGACCTGAAGTCGGCGACACATCGTCGATCGATCGGCGATACGAAACTTACAGCGAACCCGCAGGTTCCTGGGCGGGGTGGGCTATCAGGGCCTCGTCGGCGACGGATGGGCGCTTGGGGGTCGATGCCTCCCGCCTGAGCCCAACCCCCCCCTTAACGCGCGAGGCGGGGATTTATCCATATCCACCGCCTGGGAACCGACGCCCTGGTGCCCCAGCGGGCGGTGCATGCTGGATATATTTGGGACCCTGGGGGCCAGAATGAATCCATATCCACCGCATGCCGAGGTCCCCGAGGATTGATCATCCAGGCGGTGGTCATGTGTAAATCCCCGCCTCGGACAACGCACAACGGCTCTCCGGCGGCCGCTTGGGGGACGACCTGGGCGCCCACCAGGCCACGCCCCCGGCGAGGCACCGCGGCTGGGGAGCACCCCGAGGCTGCAAAAACTCCTTCTCCTCCTCCTCCTCCTCCTCCTCCTCCTCCTCCTCCTCCCTCCTCCTCCTACTCCTCCTCTCCTCCCTCCCTCTCCTCCTCCCTCCTCCCTCCTCCTCCTCCTCCTCCTCCTCCTCCTCCTCCTCCTCCTCCCTCCTCCTCCTCCTCCTCCTCCTCCTCCTCCTCTTCCTCCTCCTCCTTCTCCTCCTCACGTTGCCCCAAACGCTGCTCCCAGCGGTGCCCCTCCTCAAGGGGTCGACGCATCCTCCCCTGAGCCTATATCCCCCCTTACTTTGCCCCTGGGAGGAGGGCTGGAGCAGCGGGCAGGCGCACGGATGTGGGGACGCTTTTCTGATACGATATGGACAGGATCAGTCAGCTTCGAATCGGGAAATCGGATCGGATCGGAACGTGCTTCGAATCGGGCCTCATCGCCACGGCATCGGAATCGAATCGGACCGGCTGCGCCAGGATGCAGAACAGAGCCGTGCAAGCATCGGATCGCGGAAAAGTCGGAATCGAATCGGATCTACCCTGCTGGAATCGACATCGAATCGATATCGAATCGGATCGAAGTGGACCCTGTGCGTGTCCTGGACCGGGACATGACTGGGAGGGCATACGGGAGGACGCAAAGCTCCCCACCGGCGAGGCGCAGATGCTCCAAGAGGCGAGAGGTCCCCCAAGAATCCACGACAGCCTCCTCCCAGGAGGCGTGGCCCATGGCCCAAGCTCCACGGCGACTCCAGATCTCCGGGGGCGCCGTCCCCTGCAGATCGGCCTCGAATTGTTGCGCGCCGACCCCCGCTGGCGGGGGGCGAGAAGGCGTGTGAGATGACTGGCTGGCCCCCTCCCTCTTTCCCCCGCCCCCAGGGTCCAAAATCTCGTTTACGGGAAGGGGTGTCTGGGCTCGTCGGCACAGCCCCCGAGACTCCGGAGCTGCCTGATCTGCCCCCCATAGCCTCAGAGGCGCTCCAAGACGGTCCCGAATCGCGGAACGACTGGCTCAGGACGCGTACGATGGCAGACGTCCCAAGACACCCTCGAGACGCACCACGAGCCTTCCCAAGAGGGCCCCGAGAGGCAAGAATCAGTGGATGTCCCATGGTTTTTCATTGTTCATGGGATTATCGTCTTCTCGAGATTCTGACTCTCCAAGACGGCCCAAGAGGCCAGAGCGGCCCCGTAGACCCCTCCAAACTGCCCAAGAGGCCCGTACGAGGGCCCCAGGACGGCCCAAGAGGGTTCCAAGACGGCCCACAAAGGGGCCCAAGACGGCCAATAAGGTCGCCCCAAGAGGGCCCCAAGAGGCAAAGACGAGAACGAGAACCGAACATCGCATCTTTCCCTTCCAAGGGGCACCCCAAATGCTCCAAGAAGCCACCAGGCGGCCCAAAAGAATTCCGCAATAAGCCAAGGAGGCACAAACGAGGCCCCAAAACGGGCCGCAAAACGCTTCCAAACTGCCTCCAGGAGACTTCGCCAGGCCCGCAAACAGCTCCCAAGACGCCAACAAGAGTCCCCACATCCGACATAATGCCCAAGAAGCCCACGACGACCCAACCGTGGACTAACCGCCTCGTCTGGGGGTCGGCGGAATGGCGTAAGCCTCTTGAGTATCATGGACTCCGTGTGGAGGAGGAGGAGGAAGAAGAGGAGGAGGAGGAGGCGGAAAAGGAGGAGGAGGAGGAGGGAAGGGGGAGGAGGAGGAGGAGGAGGAGGAGGAGGAGGAGGAGGAGGAGGAAGAGGAGGAGGAGGACGAGGAGGAGGGAGGAGGAGGAGGAGGAGGAGGAGGAGCAGCAGCAGAGTTAAACCCTAGATGCTCCCCCCCTCCCTCCGAGGCCACGCTAACAGCGATGTTGGTGCACGGCGATGTTGGGATTATGGTTTTTGAGGTGACGAGCTCCACAGAGCAAGTGTAGGAAAGCACGAACAGCGCTTTCCTGTAGTTGGGTTGGCCACGAACCAACCCCCACATATACCGCGGTTACCTACATCGCCGTCACCTATATCACCGTTCTCGTGTCTACGGCTCCTCCCCCATCCCTCCTCGACGATTGAGACGTCCTCACAATCCCCCTCGCGAAGCGCGCTCAGGTTCTCCGGAATTCTAGCTCGCAAAGTTGGGCGACGGTTTCGGATAAGACCTTCGTCAGACGCCGCAACGGAAACCGTAGTAAACAGGCCTTCCCTGGGCACGGAGGTCCCCAGGAGGACGACGAAGATGACGAGGGGGCGCAATTTGGAGGTCGGGAAAAAGGAGAAGAGTCCAGGAGCACGACGACGACCAAGAGGAGAAGTGGAGTCTTCGAAGACGAAGAGCAGGAGGAAAACACAAAGAGGAAGGGCCACCGCGCCCCTCGTCCACGTGTGCCCCTCCTGGTGGCCTTCTACACATCCTGCCACCGTGCCTGGGTTGTTGGTGTGAGATTTCTTGAATGCCTGTTCGCGTCTATGGAAGCACCTGTACGCAGCCTGTTGGAAACAGTTTTGAAGCCTCTTGGGGCGCCTCTCGGGGCCTCTCAGGGGCCTCTGAGGGGCCTCGTTTGGCCGTCTTGGGTCTTCTCGGGGGGGTCCTTGGGGGCTGCTGGCGGTGTGCGGGATCTTGAGGCGGAGGCCTCGAAATGTGGGGTCGCATTCCCCTCCCGTTTGGGGGCTCTCCTGGGGGCCTCTGGAGCCGTATTGGACGCTGCGCACATGAAAACAGCGAATGTACTAGAAATATGCTTTGTCCGAAAGGATATGACGATGTGTGCCTATCTGGGCCCTCTTGAGGGTCCTCTTGGAGCCGTCTTGGGGCGTCTTGGGGCCTTCTTGGGTCCTTTCAAGGGGGTTCTTGGGGGCCTGCTGGCTGTCTTCGGGGTCCTCTTGGAGCGGAGGCCTCGAAACGTGGGTTCCATTTCCCCCCCCCCAAACCCCGGCCCCTGTTAAGGCTCGCTTGGGGCTGTCTTGGCCAGTCCTGGTTGCCTCTTGGGCCGTCTTGGGGCTCTCTTGGGCTGTCTTGGGCTCTCTGGGGGACCTCTTGGGCCGATTTGGATCTCTCCTGGGGGACTCTGGGGCCGTCTTGGACGCTGCGCACATGGAAACAGCGAATGTGCTAGAAGCGCGCGGTTTTCAAAAAAAGTTGGGCGATATTTGCCTCTTTGGGCCCTCCTGAGGTTCCTCTTGGAGCCGTCTGGGGGCGTCTTGGGGCCCTCTTGGGTCCTCTCAGGGAGGGTCCTTGGGGGCCTGCTGGCTGCCTTCGGGGTCCTCTTGGGACGGAGGCCTCGAAATGTGGGTTCCCATTCTCCCCAGGCCCCTCTTGGGACCCTCTTGGGGCCGTCTTGGGCGGTCCTGGGTGCCTCTTGGGCCGTGTTGGGGCTCTCTTGGGCTGTCTTGGAGCTGTCTGGGGGACCTCTTGGGCCGTTTTGCGGATCTCCTTGGGACCTATGGGGCTGTCTTGGAAGCTGCGCAAATAGAGCAGCGGATGTGCTACAAATGCGCGCTTTCCGAAAGAGAATGGGGTGATTTGTACCTCTTCGGGCCCTCTTGAGGGTCCTCTTAGAGCCGTCTTGGGGAGTCTTGGCGCGTCTCAGGGCCCTCCTGGGTCCTCTCGGGGGGGTCCTTGGGGGCCTGCTGACCCTCTTGAGGCGGAGGCCTCGAAATGTGGGGTAGCATTCCCCCCCCCAAGGACCCTCTCGGGGCTCTCTCGGGGCCGTCTTGAGCGGTCCTGGGTGCCTTTGGGGCCGTCTTGGGGCCACTTTGGCCGTCTCGGGGTCCTCTGGGGGACCTCTTCGGCCGTCTTGGAGTTCTCGTGGGGGCCCGTCGGGTCGTCTTGGACGCTGCGCAAATGAAACAGCGAATGAGCTAGGAATGCGCGGTTTTCCCCAAAAGAAATGGGGTGATTTGTGCCTCTTCGGGCCCTGTTGAGGGTCCTCTTGGAGCCGTCTTGGGGGCCTCTTGGAAGCCACGTTGGCCCGTCTGGGACACGCATGGAACACATTCGGAAACTCCGAGGGACTGGGAAGTTCCGGGGAGGCTCCTATGAGAACCAGGGACGCCCAGGGGGGTGAAGGATCACTTAGTGTATAGTTGCTACCCCCGGTGGTCTTCGGCCAGGGTGCCCCAACGGCCAGGTTCCCGGCATGTGAGAGGAAGGCTTCGGGTTCCGCACAGACAGCCCCCCCGGTAACCCCGGCTGGCCTCAACGGGCCCGTCCCAGCCGGCCTCGACAGGCCCCGCAGGTAATCCCAAGTAACCTCAGCAGGCCCCCCGAGTAGTCCCAGCTGGCCTCGACAGGCCCCCTTGACATCAACAAGCCCCCTGACTAGTTTTAAGTCGGGCGTGTCCCCCTACAGGGGCATTTTCGACGAAAAAACAAGAGTCAAACAATGCCCCAGAATGGTCAAAAAATACTAAGAAATCGTCCCCAGACTATTTGTTCTGCTATTTTTGAATGTTCCCCCTGTAGAGGGACAGGCCCTCAGGGAGGTCTGAACACCCTGCAGAGACCGCCCCTGGACTGCTCGGGGGGCCTGTGGAGGCCAGCCAGGATCATACCTCGGGAGGCTGCCTGCGCGCGGCTGGAAGCCACACCACCAGACGAGCGCGTGCCACTCCTCGCAGAGTGACTGCTCGCAGATGGCCCGGATCGGCCGCGGGGGATCTGCGCTAAACTACATCGAAACAGGCATGTGTGTTCGGACGTTTGCGAGTAGGCACTTGGCGAGTAGTGGCACGCGCTCGGTGAACCACTCCCCTCGCCGCCCCAGGGCTTCGCTCTGGCCGCCACCTGGAACTCTGCCGGGGTGCGTCATGACCTGGGATGTCCAGGCGATTCCAGCCGTGGCGACGAGGGCCTCCCAGGAGGCCTGGGAAGGCGGAAATGATCGGGGAGACGTGAGACTCCTATTCGGAGGACTCGGGTTGACCTGACGGGGCCATCATGAGAATCACGAGACCCACTCTGAAATTCGACGCGAACTCCCGCTGCAAACGTCCCAAGGAAACTGGACCGTCAAAATCCAGGTCGCGCTCGGCAAAGAGCGTAGGCGGACCCGAGCTCTGGCCTTACGCTTCCCCGAAAGGAAACATGCAGCGATACCACTACCTTTCCTTCCCGGATCTTCGCCACCCCCGTAGCGGCCTCCTAGCATCGCCGATGCATCGGCGATGCGGCGTGACCCTCCGACCCCATCTATTCCGACCCCTTCTGAGAGGCCCAGAACCCAACCTCCGACGTCATGATTTTGTTTTAACGTCGACCCTAGGAGGTCTCGACCTATCCCCCGGGACGGGCTTCTCCTCCTGAGCCCTTTTTTGACGGCCCCGAGGGCCGGCAAGCGCCCCCGGAGGCCGGAGAGTGGCGAAAAGCCTCCCGTCGTGATTCTGGTCACAGCGCGAGGGGGTCGGGGAGCCTTTCCTCCCTGGCCTCCGCCGCCCCCTGGCCCCCGCCACCCCCTTTCCTTCCCTGGCCTCCGCCACCCCCTTTCCTTCCCTGGCCTCCTTCCCTGGCCTCCGCCGCCCCCGGGGCCGCCCCCGGCCGTCCTTGGGCAGGCCGCAGGCCATCACCCTCGCGTGCGCGTCCAGGAAGCCGAGCACCGCCGGGCCGGGCGGCTCCGCGGCGCCGGCGGGCCGCGGCTGCTCCTGGCCCAGGCGCGCCAGGGGGGGGGGAGGAGGAGGAGGAGGAGGAGGAGGAGGAGGAGGAGGAGGAGGAGGAGGAGGAGGAGGAGGGAGGAGGAGGAGGGAGGAGGAGGAGGAGGAGGAGGGAGGAGGAGGAGGAGGAGGAGGAGGAGGCCGGCGCGGCGAGGGCGAGGGCGAGCACGGGGATGCGGCGGCTCGCCGAGGACCGTCGCTGCCAGGGCCCACCCAGCTCGGGCGCCCCAGGGCGCCACGATGTGTCGGAAGCCACCGCCGGCCGAGAGGTCCCTGTGGGGACAGAGCCCCCAGGTGCCAGCGCGGGCGTGGCGAAGGGCCCAGGAGCACGCAGAGGGCCATGTCTTCATATCCTTTGTTGTGGTCTTTCGTCGTCCCCCCCCACACACTTCCCTGCTTTTCTCATATGCTTTCCTGGGAGTCGGCGATTCCTTGTGTCTGTGCGTGTTCTTCCCCTCCTGGGTGTGGTGAGGCCGAGGGCGAGAGCGAGGATGCGGCGGCGCGCCGAGGGTTCCCCAAAGGCTTTCTAACCTCGCGCTCCCGCGCCGCCCCCCAGGAGAGCAGAGAAGGACGAGAGGGCATCGGGGCCGCACCGCGAAAGCGCGAAACGCGAAACGCGAACAGCTTCGCGCCCTCGAGGGCGCCCCTGGACTCGTGATCCGTCGAGCACGCGGCGCGAAGCCCGAACCCTGCCCGCGCCTCCCATCGGTGCAGGAGGACCTGGCGGGGGGCAGGGCGTCGCGTCAGGCCTTGCAGCTGCCCCTGCAGCTGTCGCGCTCGACCTGCTGCCGCACGCAGGCGCGCCGCTTCCCGCCCTGCCCCGGGGGTGCCTCGCGGCGGCGTGCCGAGGGGGGCAGGTCGCCTCCGAAGGCGGCGGGGCCGCTCGGAGGCCCTCGCGAGCTGCTGAGGAGCCCGCCGTGGCGTCGGAGGGGGCCCGGGAAGCCTCGCAGAAGGCCAGAGGCCTTCCCGGCCTCTTGGAAAGGCCCTGCCCCCTCCGCCTTCCCCCCTGGACGCGCCGCCGAGTGATGACGAGGAGGTGGCGGCGGCGGACGAGGAGGGGGAGAGGGAGGCGGCGGAGGAGAAAGACTCCGGACTCGGGACTCAGACGTCCGCAGAAGGTCTCCACGAGGGCAGCTCTGCCAGGAGCGTGCGGAGCGCGATGCCGTCCGCAGACGACGAAGAGGGGAAGGGAAGGAAAGATGACGACGAGGAGTGGGATGGGTGGGAGAACTGAGATTCCCGAGGCGGAGCGGTGACAGACCGTGCGGTGACCTCGAAACCCCGAAGGATCTCACCGCAGGGTTCGTCACCGCACGGGCTTGGGACCCTGGAGGCCCCAATTGCCCGAGACCTGCTCGGAGAACGACCCAAGGCCCACAACCGCGCAGGTCACGCCGAGTCCCCACTGACTCACCACGCGGTGTGGTCACCACATCGGTTGCGGGGAGACCACAGGGCACCGATACCGCTACTCCCAAGACCTCTCCTGGGGTGCGTTCTAACCCGGATTTCGAGACGACTCCAGCGGTGGCGACGAGGCCCCCCAGGAGGCCCAAAAAGGGTAGAGGTCAGGGTGCCTTTTCCTCCGCTGAGGTTGGGGACCCCTGGAAGGCCACGAAGAGGGAAAGAAAGAGGAGGAGGACGACGAGAAGTGGCAGGGGCGGGAAAGGGAGGGGCGCCGAGCGAGCGGAGGTTCCTGAAGGGGCCCAGGGAGGCACAAATGCAAGTCGACACGCACTCCAGAATTCACCCACTTTTCCACACATCTCCTGAATGTCCTCTTCCCGCCATTGACCACAGCTGCCAAGTGTCCCTCCCTTCCCGCCATTTCCCCTCTCCCGCCATCTCACATTCCCGCCGGTTTGATCAAAATTGTGGTTGGGCCCATTCTCTCAGCGCCCCTCCAACGGGGACTCAACTGACGGGCACGTTGGCCAGTGACCTGGCGAACCCAACCCTCCCCGATGTGGGCAACGCTGCAGTGCCAGAAAGAGGCCCCCAGAAAAGCAACTTTCGGCAATTTTCCAGAGCACCCGTAACTTCCAAAATCCGCCGACCCTGTCGGCGTGTGTGAGGGGCTTTTCCGTTCGAGCCGTCATCTCCGTCATTCTTTGTACTCGTCGTCTCTGTCCTTCCCTTTCCCTGGGAGACCTCTTCCCCTGGGCTCCAGCCAAGCCGACCTTGAGCAACCTCGTAATTGAGTCGAAGGGAAGCCCCTTCCCTTTGATCCCTCCCCCGCCGGGAGGGGGGGGGGTAGCGACCCCCCCCCCGGGTCAGATACGACGCCCCCCCCTGGGACTCCTCTTCCCCTGGGCTCCAGCCAAGCCGACCTTGAGCAACCCCTGGGCTCCAGCCAAGCCGACCTTGAGCAACCTCGTAATTGAGTCGAAGGGAAGCCCCTTCCCTTTGATCCCTCCCCCGCCGGGAGGGGGGGGGGGGGTGCGACCCCCCCCCCGGGTCAGATACGACGCCCCCCCCTGGGACTCCTCTTCCCCTGGGCTCCAGCCAAGCCGACCTTGAGCAACCTCGTAATTGAGTCGAAGGGAAGCCCCTTCCCTTTGATCCCTCCCCCGCCGGGAGGGGGGGGGGGGTGTCGACCCCCCCCCCGGGTCAGATACGACGCCCCCCCCTGGGACTCCTCTTCCCCTGGGCTCCAGCCAAGCCGACCTTGAGCAACCTCGTAATTGAGTCGAAGGGAAGCCCTTTCCCTTTGATCCCTCCCCCGCCGGGAGGGGGGGGGGGTAGCGACCCCCCCCCCGGGTCAGATACGACGCCCCCCCCTGGGACTCCTCTTCCCCTGGGCTCCAGCCAAGCCGACCTTGAGCAACCTCGTAATTGAGTCGAAGGGAAGCCCCTTCCCTTTGATCCCTCCCCCGCCGGGAGGGGGGGGGGGTGTCGACCCCCCCCCCGGGTCAGATACGACGCCCCCCCCTGGGACTCCTCTTCCCCTGGGCTCCAGCCAAGCCGACCTTGAGCAACCTCGTAATTGAGTCGAAGGGAAGCCCCTTCCCTTTGATCCCTCCCCCGCCGGGAGGGGGGGGTGGGGTGTCGACCCCCCCCCCGGGTCAGATACGACGCCCCCCCCTGGGACTCCTCTTCCCCTGGGCTACAGCCAAGCCGACCTTGAGCAACCTCGAAATAGAGTCGAAGAGAAGCCCCTTCCCTTTGATCCCTCCCCCGCCGGGAGGGGGGGGGGGGTGTCGACCCCCCCCCCGGGTCAGATACGACGCCCCCCCCTGGGACTCCTCTTCCCCTGGGCTCCAGCCAAGCCGACCTTGAGCAACCTCGTAATTGAGTCGAAGGGAAGCCCCTTCCCTTTGATCCCTCCCCCGCCGGGAGGGGGGGGGGTAGCGACCATCCCCCCCGGGTCCAGATACGACCGCCCCCCCCTTGGACTTCCTCCTCCCCTGGGCTTCCACCAAGTCCGACCTTGAGCAACCTCGTAATTGAGTCGGGGAAGCCCCCTTCCCTTTCATCCTCCCCCCCGGGGGGGGGGGGGGTATCGACCCCCCCCCGGCTCCGATACGACGCCCCCGCCTGGGACTTTCTCTTCCCCTGGGCTCCAGCCAAGCCGACCTTGAGCAACCTCGTAATTGAGTCGAAGGGAAGCCTCTTCCCTTTGATCCCTCCCCCGCCGGGAGGGGGAGGGGGGGGGTAGCGACCCCCCCCCCGGGTCAGATACGACGCCCCCCCCTGGGACTCCTCTTCCCCTGGGCTCCAGCCAAGCCGACCTTGAGCAACGTCGTAATTCAGTCGAAGGGAAGCCCCTTCCCTTTGATCCCTCCCCCGCCGGGAGAAGGGGGGCAGCGGGGGGGGGTAGCGACCCCCCCCCCCGGGTCAGATACGACGCCCCCCCCCCTGGACTCTTCCTCTTCCCCTTGGCTCCACAAGCCGACCTTGAGCAACCTCTAAATTGGTCGCATGGAACCCTGTCGGCGTGTGTGAGGGGCTTTTCCGTTCGAGCCGTCATCTCCGTCATTCTTTGTACTCGTCGTCTCTGTCCTTCCCTTTCCCTGGGAGACCTCTTCCCCTGGGCTCCAGCCAAGCCGACCTTGAGCAACCTCGTAATTGAGTCGAAGGGAAGCCTCTTCCCTTTGATCCCTCCCCCGCCGGGAGGGGGAGGGGGGGGGTAGCGACCCCCCCCCCGGGTCAGATACGACGCCCCCCCCTGGGACTCCTCTTCCCCTGGGCTCCAGCCAAGCCGACCTTGAGCAACGTCGTAATTCAGTCGAAGGGAAGCCCCTTCCCTTTGATCCCTCCCCCGCCGGGAGAAGGGGGGCAGCGGGGGGGGGTAGCGACCCCCCCCCCCGGGTCAGATACGACGCCCCCCCCTGGGACTCCTCTTCCCCTGGGCTCCAGCCAAGCCGACCTTGAGCAACCTCGTAATCTCTTGCTGCGCATTGCGAACAGGGTCGGCGGCACCGGCCGTCAGGCCTTCGCAATACCCGTTAGCGAGTTCCCGTTACTCTGGATTTCTGGATAAGCGTGGAGGGGGACCCCCCGACGGGGGTCAACCTCGCCTCGTCGTCGCGCCGCGACGGGGGTCAGAGCGCCTTCGGCGCGCGGTGGCTGTCCGCGACGGGGGTCGATGTGGTGCTGTCGGCGCGGGTGACGCCCCCCCGACGCTGATTGAGAAACCCGGAGCACGGTGCCGCTGATTCTCCATCCCGAAGGCCAGACCGGGCCGGGAGACAGGTCCAGCAATCTGGCACGCCGGAGGGCCCGAAGCCTCTCGGGTGCGGCTCCGGAGGTCTCACGGCGCCCCCGGCCGGGGGCGGCCAAGGAGGGGGGGGCGTCCCAGAGGGGGGGGGGCGCGCAAGTCGTGCCCCGAGGCACGTGCGCGGACGCGGGGGGGGGGGCCTCAGCGCTGCAAGTGAGTTGCGCTTCTTTTGCCAGGACGGGGCGGTCTTCTGTCGTAGGCTGCGACGTCATCGGCGGTCTGGTGAGGTCGGGGGGGTGGGCGAGAAACGATCGAGTGAGGCAGAGTGGGCGGGGAGATCCGCGTGGATATCATAATGTCCCGCCATGATCACCCCCCCACACCAATCATCACCCCCGACTTGGACCCCCACGATTCGACGACTTCCTGTCGAGCGAAGCTGCCAGAACGAACCAGCTGTGATGCCGCAACGACGTCCGCACAGAAAAACGCCCCAAGTGCGTCCCAAAAGGACGGAAGGGGCAAGCTGTCAAGTGACATCCTCGGCTGTGGCGCCATAGCTACTACTCAGCTCATAGACAGAGAATGTGTTCACACTGCCTCCGGTCAAAGAACACAAAACCTCAAAGAACAGCTCACTACTCACATCACTGCGCCGTGCCTAATTCTCACCTCACAGAACATGTTAGCGACCTCTTGGAGCCGTCTTGGGGGGCTAAACCACTTTAGCCTGTCTGGGATAGACTTGGAACCTACCCGGAAGCTCCAGGGCGCGTGGGGAAGCTCCTGGGAGGCTCCGGAAGGCCCTGGGCGGGCCCTGGGGGGGAGGGGGGACTTACTGTATATCAAAGGCCCCTGGTGGTCTTCGGCCTGGGGCCCCCCGGGGCCAGGCTTCCCACATATGAGAAATTACCAGACGGCGCCGGCGCGAAACATGACGGTACCTGCCCTCCGCTCCCCTCCTCCACGCCCAAATAACGCACGTCATCGCCCAGGAGTAAAGTGCACCCACCGCGACCCCAATTGGGGGAAAGTTTCTCGCTGCATGGGCGCAGTGCTTGGCATTGTTTGGCATTGCTTCGCTTTGCTTGGCATTGCTTGGCATTACTTGGCATTGCTTGGCATGAGGCGCCAAGGGCGGGGAGCCCAAGGAACCCGGGGAACCTGGGGAAACGGAGTGGGGAACCCGGGGAACCCAGAGAACCCTGGGAACCTCCAGGCAACGGGCAGCATAAGAATCGGAAGCGCTGGGGGCGGGGAACCCAGGGAACCTGGGGAACTCGGAGAATCTCCGAGCAACGGGCATCTAGGGCCCCGAGACACCAATCTTTAACCAAGTAAGAACCCCTTAGACAAGCCTATTTGGGAAAAACGCTCTCAGGGGGGCCTCCACGATCCTAGATATTCGGCGTTGGTGGAAATATTTCGGCCACCTGGGAACCCCGAGTCTCACCACCATCACAGAGATCGGGATCATCTTGGCAGAAGGACCAAAATTACTCCGACTGAGCGACCCCGAATGATCTTCAACAAAAATCTAGAAGCAATCCTCATCGTCGTGCTTTTGACTACGGAGACTCTCTTCCTTCGTCCTGTCTGGTATCTGCGGGTCCTTGCCGACGCTCACAAGCTTAATTGAGGATGGCCGCCTTGGTTTACACAGGACCGTCGACAAAGGAACGGCGCGCCCGCTCGAGACCCTCTCAAGATTCAGACTCCTGGGTGTCACCAAACCTGCGCTCCTACAGCGTATTCCGATGGCCGCCTCGGATTCGAACGTAGAGCGAGGGGACCACAGGGAGGGGCTTCCGCTCAGGCGTTCCTCGCGGTTCACTTACAGGCGAGCGCCCGAGACACCCTCTCAAATTGCTCCAAAACCAGGCTCCCGCTCGAGAATTCCTCGGGATTCCGGCTCCCAGTGTCTCGATGGACGCCTCGGATGACCAACACGATTCGGGGACCCCACAGGGAGGGGGCTTCCGCTTGAGAGCTCCCATCGGTTCACTCTCAGGCGAAGCTCCCGCTCACAACCTCCTCTCGGTTCGCTCAGGCACGAGGCTCCCGCGGGAGACTTCCTCGGGATTCAGGCCCCCAGGTGTCACCAAACCTGTGTTCTTACACGATCTTCCGATGGCCACCTCGGATTCGAACATGGAGATGGAGACCGCATAGGAAGGGGCTCCCGCTCGAGACTTCCGAGCGAGTCACTCACAGACGAGTGAGCGCCTGCGACACCCTCTCAGCTTACTGAGGAACGAGGCCCCCGCTAGAGACTTCCTAGCGAGTCACTCACGGACGAGCAAGCGCCTGCGACACCCTCTCAGCTTGCTCGGGAACGAGGCTCCCGCTAGAGACTTCCCTGGGATTCAGGCCCCCAGGTGTCGCCAAACCTGTGTTCTTACACGTTACTCCAGGGCCACCTCGGATTCGGCAGGGGCTCCCGCTCGAGGCTTCCTCGCGATTCACTCACAGACGAGGCTCCCGCTCGAGACTTCTTCAACATGAATGTGCGAGTGTGTGAGCGAGCGTGTGCGATGATGATGATGATGATGATGATGATGATGATGATGATGATGATGGATGAAGATGAAGATAAACATGAAGATGAAAATTGAGATGATGGTGATGGTGATGGTGATGGTGATGATGATGTTGGTGGTGATGGTGATGGTGATGATGATGCTGATGATGAAGAAGAAGACGACAATGGTGATGATGATGATGACGACGACGAGGATAATGTTGGTAATGATGATGATGATGATGATAATGATGATGATGATGATGATGATGATGATGGTGATGGTGTTGGTGGTGGTAGGGTGATGAGAGGAGAGGGGTGATATTCTCTCCTGCGCGGGGCGTCCAGAGAAAATGATAACCCCGCTTAGTATGTGGTAAAACCTTGGCTCGCCTTAAAGATGCCCAGGCCGTTTTTGTTAGCGTTTTCAGCTCGGCGTCTTGGAAATCATTGTTTGGGCGCTGTTAGGTCTGAACAAAAAGTAAAAACGCAAAAAAACAGAAAAACTAATGATGCGTTGCTTCAGCGTTTTCAGACTGGCGGTGTAGCGCTTTCATCGAAAAAACGGCCCTGGAAACGCTGTAAAAAACACGCAGCGTTGTCTTGTTAGTCTTCAGCCTGTCAAGAGCCCAACGTAGAAAACGCTTCAAAAAAACGCCCAGGGCGTTTCAAGGCGAACATAAGAGGAAACAGAGCCGCACGAGCATAAAACGTCGGAGCTCCGCACGGATCCTTCGGGTCGGCGCCGGGCCCTCCCTGGCGGCGCCTCCGGCGCCGCCCCTGGCGCGCCCCGCGCGCCAGGGAGGGGGGGCCCGGCGCCGATCCAGGAGATCCGCGCGGAGCTCCTGCAGAGTTGTTCTCCGGAGTGGGGCGAGCAAGATCTCGCCTCGGCCATCTCGCGCGCAAGGGCGCTGATCTTCTGCTGCACCTCTCGGCGGCCGGAGAGAAGAGAAATGCCCCCCCTCTTGCCTTTCGGGGGCAGCTCCTGGGAGCCCTTCGCGAGAAGCCGACGAATAGACCAAGCTGGATACAGTCGACCTGCATCAGAATGCACGATAAGGATGCAAGGGCCTGGGAGGGCCATGTCGACACTTCGCGGGCGGGGCGCGGCCAGCAAACGCGGCTAAGGATGGACCGAGGAGATAAGGATGCAAGGGTACCATTCTGAAAGTTGCCCATCCTTACTATGCGGGTTGAATGTAAAGCTGGGTCAGGCCCAGGATTAAATCCCACCAGCCCTCTGAGCGCAGGAGGTCAAACGAGTTGTTTAGATCCTCGTTCAAGATTCCTCTTCCCTTCGAGGAGGGGTGCCCTCCCGCTCCCTTCCCTGAGGTTATTTAGGGGTGGGTCGCGAGCGCTTAGGGCGCCCAAGATGGCTCCAAGAGGGCGTCTGATGCGCCAACATGGCCTCCAAAATGGCCCAAGATAGCTGAAGATGGCTCAAGATGGCTTCCAACATGCTCCAAGAGGCTCCAAATACCGCTCCAAGACGGTTCGCAATACCCCAGCAAGCGAAATTCCTGCAAAAACCCACGGTAAATAAAAGATCTGTGCCTTTTCGTCGTTTCGCTTCCGATGCGCTGTTGAGGCCTCAAGGCTACCCCAAGATGGCCCAAGAGAGCCCCGAGAGGGGCCTACGAGGAACCCAGAAACGGCCCCAAGAGCAACCCAGATCGGCCCAATAACGCCCCAAGAACGCCCCAAGAGGCGATGTTGATGGCCCGGGGAGGGGGGGGACACATCGGGACCCCCCCCCTCTTTGATCGATAGATAGCCTCAAGAAGCCCGCCAGGGCTCCCCATGGGGGCCCCAAGAGCGCCCCAGAGCGTCCCAAGAGCGTCCCACGAGGGCCCCAAGAGGCGGTTTACCTCCTCCTCGTCCTCGTCCTCGTCCTCCTCCTCCTCCTCCTCCTCCTCCTCCTCCTCCTCCTCCTCCTCGTCCTCCTCCTCCTCCTCCTCCTCCTCCTCCTCCTCCTCCTCCTCCTCCTCCTCCTCCTCCTCCTCCCCCTCCTACCCTCGCCCCCCCCGCGGGCCCCAGGGATGACCAGAAGAGGCCCTCCAGATCCACCCCCTTGCTCCGAGAGATCTTTCTGTTCATCATGATTGTCCGCTTTGTTTCGTTATGTGAGGCTTCGTCCCTTTTTCCCGTCAGCGCTCATGGGCAGGGTTTCTGACGGGCTGGTGGGGATACGCGAAACGTGAAGAATTGGATTCAGAATGTTTTAACCAGATTAGCCAGGATCACTTCGACCACGAATCTACCAGCGCCGATGCCGAATTGAACCTCCCAGGACTTGCGCCCTGATTCACCGAATACGAAATTGATTGCTGTGGGTGGAGTCCCAGCCAGGGCCCTGCGTGAGGAGTGAGAGGCGAGGGAAGAGAAACATGTGTGAGGGAGGAAAGCAGAGGGAGGAGAGGAGAGAGAGGAGGAGGAGGAGGAGGAGGAGGAGGAGGAGGAGGAGGAGGAGGAGGAGGAGGAGGAGGAGGAGGAGGAGGAGGAGGAGGAGGAGGAGGAGGAGGAGGAGGAGGAGGAGGAGGAGAGGGAGGAGGAAGAGGAGGAGCAGGAGGAGGAGGGAGACCTGCACTGCTCTCCACGGGCTCTCCCCTGCCTCCCCGCGCCCCCCCGCCTTGCGAGGCCCGGCCCGACTCCAGACGACACTCCCCTGCCCGACAACCCCACCCCCTGGAATCTACTGTTAGATCCTCGATCCATTTTCGATATCCTCGATCCTCGATTCTCATTCCTCGATCCTCCGATCCTCGATCCTCCACCATCGATTCTTGATCCACGATCCCGATCCTCTATCCTCGATCCTCCTCGATCCCGATCCTCGGTGTCAACCATGTCCCCCTACAGGCGCATCTTGGACGGCGAGAGAAATCGCCCCCGGGCTCTTTCTCTCGTGACGAACGTTCATCACGCACCCATACCCATAGGGGAGACGGAATGAGCTATGGGTGCGTGTTGTCGGATGGGGGTCCCCGCTCGAACGGGAACCTCCCCAGGGGTCCGACAACCCGCACCCATACCCGTAGCCAGTCCTTCTCCCTTCGACCTCCCTATGGGTATGCGTGTGTGTTGTTCGTTCATCATCTCGACTGTTCTTGGGCCCTCCTCCTGTGGAGGGACGGGCCCGACCCACAGCTGCTGCCCGCGGCGGTGTGGTCCACGAGGCGTGCGGCACAACGGGCCACCCGGGGCCGCGGACCGGCTCTCGGACGGCGGCTCTCGGGACCACTGGGCCGCCTCCCAGGGCACAGCCAACCCGTGTGGCGAGGATGCGCGCTGAGGATGCAGGGGCCTCGGACGCCCGTTTCGGAGCGTTTCGAGCGGGGCGCGGCCAACGAAAGTGTGCAAGGCTGGACCCAGGAGGCAAGGATGCAAGGGTACCCTTGGGAGGGATGCCTATCCTCACTATGCGGGCCGACTGTATCCGGGCATGCCGGACACATCCGCAGGGCCCAGCAGCTTCAGGGACTGGCCCTCTGCCTTTGGGAAGGAAGCCGCGCACGAGCAAAGCCGTGTGGCCCCCCTCTGCGCCTGAGAAACGGCCGCTCCTCTCCACCAGGCGCCAGGTCTGCCAACCGAAAGATCCGGTCTCCCTGCGCACACTGCTAGCCCTAGTGAGCCGATGGGCAAGTCTCTCGGCCCGCTCGCGAAGGCCAGCACAACAACGGGAGGGACCACCAGGAACAGCGAAGTGGGTTCGGACTTGACCGCACATTGCAGATCCGCCAGCGAAAAAACACGCCTGCAGTTCAAGCCGACAATCACAAAGCCGCGCATGCATGCCAACTGTCACGAGGCCAGGGCTTCAGATAGAGGAGTATCGATTGACCATCAGGCATATAGCGCCAATGTTCCCCCCCCCGCTTGTAGACTATTAAGTGTTGCCCAAGGCTGCTCGTCTCCGACTCGAAACTGTCATCCTTGGAGGCTGCAGATGCAGAAACTCCCGATCAACCGCAGAGCGGCTGCTACTCGAAATAATTTCGACCATGTCCTCCATCTCCGCCTGCAGAGCCATTCGAGGCAAGCTGGTACGCTTGAGGGTCGCAGGGGGCAATCCACGTGCCGATGACGGGCCAATCCTGGAAGAAGGAGGAGGGGAAGAAAAACTGAATGAAAAGAAACTTTCGGAGGCCCGTGCGGATTTCGTGGGTGGGAGCTGGAAACGCAGGACCCCCCACCCCGCACTGGTGCGCGGAACTCACCAGGGGCGGCGCCGGAAGCGCCGACAGGGGAGTCCGCGCGGACCTACGAAAGCTATGCCTGTGCTGCTAATTGTTTTGCGAGATACTCCCCGCCCCCTCCCCACTCCTCGTTCTCATCCCCTCCTGCTCCCCCTCCCCCTCTCCCTGTCCCTCCTCTTCCCCTCATCATCGCCACCACCGCCACAACCATCATCATCATCATCATCATCATCATCATCATCATCATCATCATCATCATCATCATCATCATCATCATCATCATCATCATCATCATCATCATCATCATCATCATCATCATCATCATCATCATCATCATCATCATCATCATCATCATCATCATCATCATCATCATCATCATCATCATCATCAGCATCATCATCATCATCATCATCATCATCATCATCATCAGCATCATCATCATCATCATCATCATCATCATCAGCATCATCATCATCATCATCAGCAGCAGCATCATCATCATCATCATCATCATCATCGTCATCATCATCATCATCATCATCATCATCATTTTCTTCTTCATCATCATCATCATCATCATCATCATCATCATCATCATCATCATCATCATCATCATCATCATCATCATCATCATCATCATCATCATCATCATCATCATCATCATCATCATCATCATCATCATCATCATCATCATCATCATCATCATCATCATATTCATGATCATACTGTCCCCCTCCTCGTTGTCCTCTTCCTCCCATCCTCCTGCAGCCCTGGACCTTTGGCTCCCCCCCGCCCAGACGGCCGCCAGCAGGGCCGCCTACAGCTCTCACGTCCCCCCTCGTCGCGTCGCCGAGTGCACAGCCGCAACATGACCACACGAACCCTGATCTAAAACACGAGCCCCTCCGCCGAAGGCCAAAGGTCCCACATCAGACACCCTAGACGACGCATAACACAAGACGAAGGGCCCAAGCAAGACGAGCACGAAAGCACCGCTCCCAAGCCAGGGACCTGCTCAACCCGCGTGCCAGCTGCACCGATCAGCCCCCCCTCGCGCATCGGAGCCGTCGAGCCTCGCTCTGCCGGCGCACCATCTCGGTCAACTTCTCGATGACCTCCGCGCCCCACGCGGGGGGTCAAGGACACCGAACGCCGCCGGAGGGGGTGTCCCTTGCACGTTACGACCAGGGCGCGTTTCCGCCATGCGGCCCTGGGACAGATCGCTGCTTGGGTTCCCAGGCGCGCCAGATGGATCAACGGGGCACCGAAAGAGACGAATAGATGATGGAAGCACGGCGGACTGGACCCCAGATCTGCACAAGCTCTCTCCGCAAGCTCCGCAACGCCAGGCCATGAGAGTCATGAGCGGCAACGCTTGGCCAGGAGAGCCGCCACTGGCTTTCAGCAGGACAGCGCGCCACTCTGCTTCGCAGGACGGGAGGCTGGCAACGGCTCCGAACGTTGATGCTGGGGGACATGGACGTGCTCAGCGTGTCGCGCCGAAGCGCGGTACGCCAGAACCGGCGGTGCGATTTGCTGAGGAAACGTTCCTGACCGTACTCGTCCTCCTCCTCCTCCTCCTCCTCCTCCTCCTCCTCCTCCTCCTCCTCCTCCTCCTCCTCTTGCTCCGCAGTCCTCCTCCCCCAATCCTCCAGTCTCCCTGCTGACTCCTCCATCCTCAAAGCAGTCGATGTTTGGCTTTTGAGGAGGCCGTTCCTGGTGGGCGGCTCGCCCGAACGCCATGGCCCTTGCAAGTTGCGCACAAACATTCTCGCCCGGCCGAGCATCACAGCGTGGTGCCACAGCGTGGTTTCCAGGCACCGGGCGAGAGAGAGCAAGAGGAAGACAGAGAGGGCGAAAGCACCCACCGTGAAGCGCTTTCAATCCCACAGGTTTTAGGTTTACCCTCGGGCCAGTCCGATCACCATGCCCTCTGGCAACTCCTCTCCCTCTCCTGGAGGCCCTCGGCGACCCCCGAGAGGGGATCGGAGGCGAGCACCCGCATCAAAGACCGAGAGCAGCGACAGAAGCAAGACCAGGCGGGCGGAACACTTTTTCTCCCTGCGGCCTTGCGCTCGCCTCGCTTGTCTGCATGTCTTCTGCATGCCTTCTGCGCATCCTCGCTGTAAGTAGGACGGCGTTGGCACGCGCAAGCTCCAGAGGGGAAGCCGGACGAATTCGTGCACCCGGAGGCACCTCCTGCCTGTCCTCGCACGCCCCTGGGGGGGCGCGCGCGCGCGGGCACCTCCGGAGCGGCAGCGCCTACGCGCCTCCCGCCTCCGAACAGGGTGTGTGCAACAGGCTGAAATTGCGGCGAAGGTAGTCCCCGATGCTGAGCGGCTCGTACTTGGGCTCCTCGCCATCGCGGCAGATGCACTCCACTTTCGGATCCGAAGTCGGGTGCAGCGGCAAGACCTGCGTGCTGAAGTACGGGAGCGAGATGCGAACCGAATCGCAATTGACGTTCGCATTGACACGGTGAATCGTGCTCGTGAAAAGGTCATTGCTCCACCGGGCCAACTGATCGCCAATATTCACTGTAAATGCACCTGGGACTACTGGCACAGGGTGCCATTGGTACACCTTGCTCTCCTCAGACATCGTGCAGACTTCTAACCCTGGAGATGTCGTCAACAAGATGGTGAGCGGGCCCCAGTCCGTGTGCCCATCGCATCGAGCTTCCTCGGGAGAAGGCTGGCAAGGCCAGGACCACGCAGCTTTCATCAAGCCTCTGTTGAGCCCTATCTGATTGAAGAGGTACTGCGGATCAAGAGACCGCCCAGTTGCCTTTGACAAAGCGAGGGAGAGTATTTCCAGCATCACCTTCTCTACCCGCTGCACTTCGGAATAGTAGCTGTCGACATGGTGGCTGAATCCATCGACAAAGTCTGGGTAGCTGTTCTCACCGTATGCTGAGCCGCCGAGGTGTTCTGGAGGACCGAACGAGAAGCACTCTCTGAGACAGGCCGGTCCAGCGCGGCCGAGTGAGACTTTGACATTCTCGCTCTTGTATGGAACGTAACCACGCTCGGTTCCGTGAAAGGATTTTGAAACGCATCGCTGCTTTTGCTCCACAGGGCTTCGAAAGAAGGTTTCGAGGGCAATCAGAGCAGAATCGATGATGTGTTGAGGGACCCCATGGCCTACAATGTTCATGAAGCCTGGGTGTTGAGCCGCAGAGAGGACCTGATCAACCACTGTATCTCGGTCAGCTTGCGTTGCCCTACTGACATGCACAAAGCAGGATATGTCCACCAGAGGTACTTGGGCAAGCGGTGGCACATTTGCAGATGCAAGCCCCGCATCAGCCTCTGCAATCGCGCTATTGACTCGCTGCCACATCTGACGGTGCCCACCGTCCACAGGCTTTGGCGCAAATCCTGCAGCATCCCCAATTGCAGTCGCCATATTGCTCCTACAGGAAAGGACCCAGATGTCAAACGGCCCAGGCCAACGACTGGATAGCGCCAAGACAGCTTGAGCCGACTGACTACAGAAGAAAGATGCTAAACCGGGGGAAAAGTTCTGGCAAGGTACCGGCTAGGTCCCAGCAAGGTCTCGGCAAGGTCCCGGCAGGTTCGGATCAGAGATGTCGGAACTCCTGGGCGCGGCTTCGGGCCCCCCCCCGAGCACCTCCAATGAGGCGCCAAAAGGGTGGCACGCCCCACGGTCTCAGGCCGAGAGCGTTCCAAGATGGCCGACGCTGATCCCAACACGGCCGAAGAGACGCTCCAGGAGGGTTCCAAGAGGACTTCGAGAGGCCCCGAAGACGCAAGACTTATTGATGTTGCGACGATTTTGACGGTACCACCTTTTCGAGCAGCTGACCGCCCTGGACGGCCCAAGAGGGCACAAGCTCGCTTCAAAACAAAATAAAGAGCCTCCAAGAGGGCCCCCTAAGGGCCCAAGGTAGATGGCCCTAAGATCTCCCCAGGATGGCCTCGAGAGGGGGCCCAGAGGGGGAACCAGAACAGACATTTGGAGCTCTCAGCCCCAAGAGGCACCCAGGAAGCCCCCCAGAGGCCCCCAAGAGCCCCCCAAGAGGTCCCAAGAGGCCCCCATGAGGCCCCAAATGAGGCTCCCTGGACGCCCAACAGGCCCCCAGAAGACCCAAGAGGCCTCCAACAAGCCCCCAAGAGGCTCCCCAGAGGTCTCAAAACTGCTCCCCAGAGGCTCCCGCGAGCCATCCGAAGAGACCCCAAGAAGCATCAATGAGGACTCTGGCCCACAACCCAGGTACGTCTCGAAACTCTGCTGGAGCTCTTGAGCCATCCTGGCGCCCTCAGGGGCAGTCTATCGGCTCTCTTCGACAAGGTGCGAGCCACACCTCCAAAGATCTCCTCGAGGACTGTGATGCGAAATGGGCCGGCAGAATGAGCGAAGCGATTCGATAAGTTCGAACCCTGCTGCGCAAGATCCCCCCCGGACCCTCCAAATTAATCTTGAGAGTGCGACAATGGAGAAGGCATGATGGGTGGACAGAAATATTCAGGCATGATGGGTGGACAGAAGTATTCGAACCCCCAGACCACCACCCATGCTAAAATCAACATTGAATTCGGGGGCGGGGGGGTGTTGAACATCCCCCTCAAGTGTGTGAGGGCTCGAATATGTTGTCCATGTACTGAAGGACGGTGGGGCAGAACGACAGGAAATCATATGGAGGAGGGAGGCGGCAGGAGAACTATGGGGAGGTCGGAGGAAGGAGGAGCATGAGCATGATTCAGGATGAACTCCTTCTCGCCCACCTGTTCAGATTCATCATCAACCCCACTATCATCGTTACCGACATAGTTCTGGAGTCGCATTCAGAAGGGCCTCATGATGGCCCCCCCAAAAAAACAAGGCCTCGCCTGAGGGCCCGTTGAGGCGTGAAAACATGCCAATGGCTGCCTGGTAGGGCTTCTTCTCTCTAATCAGGGACCCCACGGATACCCGAGTTTCCTCCATGCAACGCAGCCCCTTCCCGCGGCCACGATCCCTAGTGAAAAAACAACGGACCCTCGCTCCTGATGCCACGATCCACTGTAGACAACGATGGATCCGTGTCCAGAACTTCCAAGGCGGCCCATGACAGCGAGTCGCTCTGCTTCGTAGGACGGGAGGCTGGTAAAGGCTCCGAACGTCGATGCTGGGGGGCATGGACGTGCTTAGCGTGTCGCGCCGAAGCGCGTTGCGCAAGAACCAGTGGTGTGATTTCCTAAGCAAACGTTACTTACCGTACTCCTCCTCCTCCTCCTCCTCCTCCTCCTCCTCCTCCGCAGTCCTCCTCGCCCAATCCTCCAGTCTCCCTGCTGACTCCTCCATCCTCAAGGCGGTCGATGTTTGCTTGTTGTGGAGGCCGATCCTCATGGGCGGCTCGCCCGAACGCCATGGCCCTTGCAAGTTGCGCACCAACATTCTGACCCGACCGAGCATCACAGCGTGGTCTCAAGGCACCGGGCGAGAGAGAGCAAGAGGAAGACAGAGAGGGCGAAAGCACCCACCGTGAAGCGCTTTCAATCCCACAGGTTTTAGGTTTACCCTCGGGCCAGTCCGATCACCATGCCCTCCGGCAACTCCTCTCCCTCCCCTGGAGGCCCTCGGCGACCCCCCGAGAGGGGATCGGAGGCGAGCACCCGCATCAGAGACCGAGAGCAGCGACAGCAGCAAGACCAGGCGGGCGGAACACTTTTTCTCCCTGCGGCCTTGCGCTCGCCTCGCTTGTCTGCATGTCTTCTGCATGCCTTCTGCGCATCCTCGCTGTAAGTAGGACGGGGCTGGTACGCGCAAGCTCCAGAGGGGAAGCCGGACGAATTCACGCACCCGGAAGCACCTCCTGCCTGTCCTCGCACGCCCCTGGGGGGGCGCGCGCGCGGGCACCTCCGGAGCGGCAGCGCCTACGCGCCTCCCGCCTCCGCACAGGGTGTGTGCAACAGGCTGAAATTGCGGCGAAGGTAGTCCCCGATGCTGAGCGGCTCGTACTTGGGCTCCTCGCCATCGCGGCAGATGCACTCCACTTTCGGATCCGAAGTCGGGTGCAGCGGCAAGACCTGCGTGCTGAAGTACGGGAGCGAGATGCGAACCGAATCGCAATTGACGTTCGCATTGACACGGTGAATTGTGCTCGTGAAAA